TTTTAAAATATGATTGATATTATTGGTATTGTCTTGGTGGGGATGATTACCTCATGTTCCCTATAGCTATATATAGCTATATGAATGGCAAGTTTCATCATGATAAAAATGATGATAAACCCAGTGGAATTTCGGCTGCGCCATTTCTGCTCTTCGGATGGACTTGACCTCCTCATGCCCTCAGCTGCGAAATGGGCTGCCATTTACATCCATTTTCGCATTCTGAAGACATTTCACAAGGAGAAGGAGATGAAAGGAAAAAATATATCACAATCACAGAGTACACAGAGTACACTGTCAGAAGCGCATCAGTTTTTGTTCACTATGACCGTTAGTCTTTAAAGCATGATAGAATGGAAATGATTAAATCCCACCACCGTCACCGTGATATATAAGGCAATATAGTGGAGGTTAAATCCCTTCGGGCGTAGGCAGATTCTATGTGAGCTACACGACACCGAAACCAGAAATATTCTGTCACACTCAGGTCGCAGCTCTCCTGGTGCCATTCATTTTCTCTGGTTTTTTCTGCAGTTACGCTGCATGGCATTGTCCGGGGCCCGGTGCAACGCCTTCCGCATTGGCCGCGGTTCATCTCCTGCAGTTGGCTGTTTAGTTCCAAATTCCTGCCGTGTGAATACTACAATTGCAGACTCCTGCTCGGGACAATCTTCTTTTCAAATTGCCAAGGTGAAATGCCTGAGACCGGCTCTCGACTTTTCCCTTTGAAGGCATGGATGTTACATGGGGACACGTGTACATGTTGCATCCATTCCGACAAGTGAACCGAGCGAACCAGAAAGAAATGGGTCGCCCCAGAAGCTTTTCATGTCACCTGATTTCTGCCAGGAACGACCCAAGGGTCTTCGCTTCTTGTTAACCGTGCCCATGGGATTTCTGCAAGGAGTCATCATTTGGCTGGCCTTTGAGGCACCTGGTGACGGAGTTTAGATGCCTTCAGATAGATGACATTGATAGAATCCATGATCCCAGACTCGCGGGAAACTCTGTTTGGTCAAACATGTTTCTCAGATTGATATAAATCAATTACTTTGATTTACTTTGCAAATGGATGACTAGAACTTGGTTTGGAAAAGAACACGTGGAGTAGAGGTCGGAGAGGGAGGCAAGGCAAAGGCTCTTTTAGGTGTCGACATTGCTGTCGTGCACAGGAATATGCTGAGAGGAATGCAGATCAGAGCCTGCCCATCACAGAAACAGCATGGCAGCGCCGCACGGACCGTCGCGGGGCCGCACCTCCCAACAAGTATCACTGCAAGGCGGGTTCATAGACGTACAGAGTGAGTGTGCTTCCATGTGCTTCCCTTCAAGTGTGTTTTTCAATAGGTTTGAATCCTCTTCCTCCTGAAACTTGGGAGAAGCTTTGGACCCAACTGTCTTCCACTATGGATTTGGTCTTCAAACATCTTCAGGCATTTTGTCAATGACTTCAACAACCATCATTGAACCTTCTCAACAGCACCGCATGTAAAATCCAAGTTTTAACAAAAGTTGCTCCTTTCACAGCATCATGCTTTTCCTAGTTCCACCTTTGGAGAGGCAGTGAACGGACTTTTCGAGGGCATCGCCTCAACGATGGTCTTGCTCTATGCTTTCTGGAGTCTCGGGGTCAAGGTGCCTTGCTACAAGCAACAACTGCAGGCAAATGGTGCATGATTACACAAGTTTGGTGATAGGAATGGCATTGACTAAGCCACTCATCATCTGTATGGGGTTGCAAACTATCGTCATTTATCTTCATGTATCATCATTTATCGTCATGTATCGTCAATTATCGTCATTTATCATCATTGATCACCATTTATCATCATTACATCTATTATCTTGTAGGAGGCATGTTGTTTCTTGATTGGCACCTATGGTCCTGGAAGCGATTGTTCCGGCCCGATTGGCCATTCTGCCTGATTCTTTTTGGTCTGAAAAACATTGGATCTTCCCCAAATAATCAATAAAAGCTGGTGCTGACTGTCCTGTGGGCCATCCACGATTCATTGGACATCGGATGTGTTTTCGTTCGGCTGAGATTGGAAATCCTCCGGGGCCCATCACGAAGCTGAAATTCACTGGTGAGGGAGTTCTCGTCGGAGCTTTGGGTATCATCTGCTTCCTTTCCACTGGTTTAGGCGGCCGTCCACCGTTGACCCTGAGTCCTCCCATTTTGGAGACCAAGAATTGTGGTCCCAGCGGACTGTGAAATCCTAAGTCTTGCCCGTTAATCCATAAATGTAATATATCATTTCATACAATTTCATATTTCGGAGGCTTTCCTTCCTCGCCCTGACAGGTCTCATGGAACTAGACTACTGCACCTCTCGGGCTATTGCCAAGCGCATGCGCAGCTGGCCCTACGAGACGGTTCACGTGCTCTTCCGTCCCTGGGTTTGACGGTTTGGCATGCTGTGCATCTTGAGCGGATGAGTGGTTCATAATGGTGATAGAATGTGATATGTGAACGAATAGAATGTGCAAAAATAGGTGGTCGAAGTCGGTCGAAGGAACAAAAAAAAAGTTTTAAAATTCTTGGAAAGGAATTGCCAACAGTCACCCAGTTTTACGACGCCAGTTCCTGTGAGGCACTTGTGAGGTGACCTCTCGCGTGTGCATGTTCGTGGCGCCCCTCAGCGAAAGGGTGGGGTTGGCAGCCCTTTTTTTAAAGCCAGGGGAAAACATATGTGAATAGTATCTTCATAATACAAATATTAGGGAAAATATGTTAGATACTATGGCTATGTTTGAATGGCGCAATTGGAAAGAGATGCCACCGCAAATTTGCAATCCCAAATATAGAACATCCCCAATGAGATCAGCATATTTGAAACATGGCAGCCACTCATGCGCTCAACCTGAGTGAGGTTCATGGTCACCACCAGACAAGAAGAGGAATGGAGGTGCTCTTGATACAGCAGGGCTTGGGCCGGGTCGACTCTACAAAGTGTTGCCTTCGTGGTATAGTTTGGCACTCCAGCCTTCCTTTGTTCCTTTGTTCCATGCACTAAAGACACAGGCTGAGCAGCTGTGGGCAGTGCCAGGTTGTGGTGGTGCATTTTGCTGGCGGATTTCTGCTTCACCGCTTTCATCGTGACCGTCTTCGGGGGTGCTGAGACCACTTGGTTTGTGCCGGGCTCAGGGCTGTCTGGTACTTCGCACATGTCGACTCCTAAAGTTCCAAGACTTGGTGATTTTGGGAGTTACAGTCAACCAAGTCGATGACTGAAATGATAAGGTCCAAGATCCAAACTTTCACTCTTAGGGAGCCGTAAGGGTGATGATGAGCAACATCTTGTTCTGGAGATTACAAAGTTCATGCGGACCATGATTCATTTGCAATGTTACAAGGATGTCACAAGGCCCTATCACAAGGCTTCTAGCAGCATCCAAACAGTTGATGTGTATAGCACTGAAATTCTCGAGCTGATCGCTACAACCCAGGTGCGCATCTTGTGCAGCTGTCCCTGTGTTTCTGGGCGTGGGTTTGTTAGGAGATAGGCCCGAGATGAATTTGAAAGCCAGGAAGGGGTCAAAATTCTGGGTTGAAGCTTGGGAAATTTGGAAATTAGGAAAGCAGCTGGTTCCCACCTGTATGACCATAATCGGGATGCAACATATCGGACTCAAGGGATGAACATTCAGTTTACTTCCTGTACAGTGAAGATTCGCAGCCGAGGTATTCGCCAACATCTTTGCCTTCACCGATGCACCCAACAAACGGCGAGCTGCCAAGTTGGTCTCTCGCTGGCTGACCATCAAACATGCGGCTGAGATCGTCCTCCTTCCGTTGGTGGTGTCCCTTGGTGATGAAACGTATCCTTGATTTCTTTACGCAAACCAGCATATGCTTTGCCTTTTTCTGAAAAAAAACGAAAATGGTTGTTTTTCGGAGCCCTGAACGTTTTATAGTATTGGAAATGCCTAAAGCCTTGTCACATCAAGAGTTGAGCTCAAATTCCGTGTCATTAGGCAGTTGCTCTCATTATATTCCGCTTGACCAATTTATACCAACCCCATGTTGGATGCTCCACCGACTGTACTGAAGTTTCGTGCAAATTGCCAAGGTTTCTGGGGATGGGTGATCGTCTTTGGAAGGACGTGGAGGACAACTGGAAACACCATTGGTTCATGATTGACACATGGATGCAACAGCACAGTAATACAGCGGTTGCATTTGAAGTGAAGCTGCGGGGAAAAGTTGTTGGTTTAATTTGATTTTCTCATAGTCCAGCAGACGTGAGACACGTTGCTGGTAGCAGCTTCTTGTTTGCGCATGCGGCGCACTTGGCCACAACAAATATTCACTTCGTCCTGGATTTGGCAGACAGAGCTGTTCATGATATGATAGTGAAACAGATTCCGAACCACAGAGAACATGCGGTGCATGTGATCCTTTCTGCGGCCTTGCTAAGATCGTTGCCCTGTCTGCCAGCCACTGGAAATGCATTCAGTGCATCATGAGGATCAACTCTAGCCCACTGCCAACTACCAGTCCATCGCAGTGCTTGAAAGTCGTGTATCCCAAGATGCGCCAAAAACCATCATTGGTACTGTGGGAAAACCTACGGTACACCATACCCAAGGTTGCAATTTGTGGTATCTTAGGGATTCTCATACATGAATCCTACTCTGATCGGATTGTATGGTTGGCTTTACACATTCCGTTTGTTTCACGTCTATCTTTCTTCCTGGCTAAGGTGTCCTCTACTGGCCACTGCTGGCCTATCTTTCGACCAGATCGTTGCACCGAAGCAACATGACGGTAACTTGGCCATGGTCAAACATTTGTTTGGTGGATTTCCGAGTCCCATGTTGGTTCACCAAGTATCCTCATGCCATCTCCAAGTGCATCTCAACCAGGGACATGAGACATGGACACCAATTCAATCAAGCTCCAACGATCAGTCTTTGAGTTTTTCAACATTTTTCAACAGGGTTTCACTGCAGAAGCTTGCTTGCCGTCAAACTTAAGTGATCTAACCATTGCAGAGTTCTAAAAGAGGCAACAAACGATCTGTTCGGTGGTAAATTTTGCCTTGCTTCGCATCTTGAGGACATTTTCTCGGCATGCGAAAACGGCTCCAAGAACGAGGTGAAGGGAGCCATCCGAGAACTTACCCGGAGCGCAGCGATTTGTTTGAATGTGCCCCTTGGCGTTTTTTGGGACTTTGGTCAGATGACTTGGAGCTGTTCAGAATGCCTGATTGTTGGACCCTCGATGTCTTTTGGCAGAGGTTGGAGCCTTCCAGTAACGATTTCCTGGTCCATGGGACGGAGGGAAATGACAAGATAATGCATTGTCAGATGTCTGAAAGCCTTTGTGGATGTGTTTTTTTCAGAAGATCAGTAATTGAAGTGGACTTTGCAGGAATACACCAAGTAGAAACAAAACGAAGGTGGTCCTACCAAAATGTGCGCTATGGTCAAAGCAAATTGGGGTTTCATTGAAACAGATGAGAATGAAAATGGCATCACATGGGAGGTGAAGCGTGGTGAAGCTGTCAGATTGTAAGCATTGATCTCCATGATGTTGCAAGATGTTGCTGAGGAACAGTCCTGACGTCGACGGGAACACACCGCTGATGTTGGCGGCCGCCAGGGGCCATGCGGACGTGTGCGATCTGCTGGTCCAGCAGGGTGCTCGAGTCGAAGTAAGAAGATGTCCAGATAACAGGAGCCCAGAGTGCCATGTGCCACAGGGCTGCTGACACAACAATGTGCCATGCTATGCATCCGGTGTTTCAACACAACCTTCCCAAGTTGCAGCATACGCTGTGTAAGTTGAGTTGGAGTGGTAGTCGTAGCATGTCATAGCTATTGTGTGAAGATTATGGATTCAGAATCAGCAACAAATTTTGGCTGACGATCTCTGCAGCTGGTCAGGAAGTGTCGTACCTTGTTAACCATCTCCCTGCGTCGTCGATGGACAGCTTTGCACATCGCAGCGTATCATGGGCATTTGAAGGCTCCAAATCAATTAGGACAGTACAATTAACATCAATTAACCCAGTCTTCATGTCACAATGATTGAGGGAGTCTCCATGACCTCTAAGGTTTCGGTTTCATAATGTACTGGGCAAAGAGATTCGTGGCTGTCGCGGAGTCCAGGTGGTTCAGATTCTGCTGGAGACGGCCAAAACACGTGCTGCAGGCGAGACACTTTTTTGGCAAATCAACAGATAATTTCTGTAGAAGAATTTAAACCTATTTAAACAGCTTGGAATCTTGATCCACCTGCAAACCCAAAAATATCTTCCAAGCATCGGCAGACTGAGGACGAAGCTAACTGCGTGTGCTGACGCGCACTACTATGTGTTAACATATGGAAAGAGATTTCTTAAAACATCTTCACTAAATTAAGAATCATGCCGGCTCTGACTGCCTGAATTCGTTAAGATGTTGAAATGCTGTGAAAAGGTTAGTACATAATCCAAGTAGACTTGAACCAAGTTTGAATACTGCAATGTTTGTTTGCGCTGACGGCTTTCAAGGATGGTCTGGGTGTCCAGCTGAAAATCAGTACCTGCCAGGCGAAAGAAGTGCTTCGGAACCTCGGTGGAATGGGCCGAGATGCGGGTAGGAAAGGAGCCAACACAGCAGAACACAGCAGGATTCAGTGATCTGAAAGATGCCCTGATTCGAAAACTTCTTTGGAATCAAGTTTCAATAGTTTCAATAGCTCGCACTTGTTGTTTGAACCAAGTGGTGTGTGCGGTTTTTTTTCTCCAAACAAGGGTTGTGGTCGCAAGCGCCGACTTTCACGCGCATGCTGCACCACCAGGGACCACGTTGTCCTTCAGGTGTGGGTGAGATGGTGACATTAGCTGCTATCCTTTTGGCCACAACTCAGGATTACTGGAACTACGTATTTCAGGACAGGGGCTGGTAAGACGAGCTGGTAAGACGAGGCTTGTCACATGTTGTCACTCCTGGGGATGGGTTCCTTCCACAGAATGATTGGCATCAGCCAGGATTCTGCCAATCAGACCCCGCTGCAAGTTGCAGCTCGAAGGGGTTGGGTGGAGGTATGTTGCTGCATTGCATACCATGTGCTGAACTCAGAATCCTTTCCTGCCAGCATGATCGGCCAACTCGACAAGTGAATCCTGAAGCTTCCTTCAAAGCATTCAACACACGAAACCAATTTTGATGGGTGTTGATGTGGTTAAGGTGCCCAGGTGGAAGATGGCGATGCAAGCAGAACCACACCCTGCCATCGACCAAGTTCAGCGTGAAGTGACCTTGTCTCACAGCAAAAGGTTTGGGGTGTGCAGAGTTTTGCTGCACAATGTGGGAACGACCAAAATATCAGTATCAATGCTGGCTGTTAGCCCACAATACGGGACGGGTATCCATTCTGCAATTTGGATTTTTTTTGCATCGTTGGTAATTCCGAAAATGTGAACCGGGTTCATTAGCCATGGATGACAATGGCTCTTGTATGTGGCTTGGTTGGCCCAAGCCTGGTGAAGTAGCATGCCTTGGCAAGGTGAGAATTGCCATTACGGAGCCTGGCCCCGAACTGCTGCAGCGACTCGGTCGGGAAGCGAAGGGCATCGGTGGGCAGGATTCATTTGGGGCAGTGATGTTTACATCGTTTCACCGCCATTGAAGGGGTTGAAAACTTCACGCAGCAAGTAGCACTTCAACATCATCAGAAAAAAATCAGATTTCCAGTCCTGAGCCACGGTTATTTTGTCAGCAAAAACACATGCTACCAAGGAGATCCGTGGAGTCCTGTCGCACGCCGTTATTGGAAGCTTGGAAAGTTGCGAAATCAGGAAGTGACAGTTGGGGCCCACTGGGTGAACTAGAGTACTAGAGTTTTCCTGCGCGAAGTGGTGATGAGAATGGGTCTTTCCATCAATTGTTAAGCAAAAAGAAAGCTTTTCGCAGATTAAACAAATTGCCAATTCCAAAGATTTTGGATGGAACGCGGTAGTTTTATACGATCACATGTTGCCCATCCAGCAACGTCAAGACCAAACCCTACTGCAGATTTCGAAGTGTTTGCCCGAGTTTCTTTTGCCTTGAGATCCACCAAGAACGAAAACGTGCTTGTCTTTGCGTCTAATCTGCTCCCATTGTTTCGAATGTCTTGAACTGGCAGATCTGTTCTTTGCTGCAGTTACCAAGGATGCTGCTGCACCTATCCAAAATATCGAGGGCTGGCCTCAAGTGCAAGTTGCCATTGACAGAAGTCAGCATGACCAGTTGCTGGGCACAATCTCGGCAGCTTGTGACGATGTCAACATGCTGGGGTCGATGGGAGCTCGGAAGCTCCACATGGGGAAGCGGCTGCAGCTGAAGCAGCTGAGGTTGATGGCACCAGGCCTGTGCTCCTACATCGCGAGCTGCTGTGGCGGAGCAACGAAGCACATTTAGATGTCCACTCATCCAGTTGATATTTCCTTATGTTTCCTTATCCGATTTATCCTTTATATTGGCATTGCCGTTTGCACCACTTGCACCACTTGCACCACTTGGGTCTGTTTGAATTTCATGTGAAACGGTCAAGGCACTGGGTCGCACCTTCCTGGTGGATGTGAGGCCCTCTGAAGAGGCTCGGACCTTGCCAGACCCTGCCATCCTGGCATCGGCGGTGTGCCATGGCATGCCATGGCCATTGGGCGGCAGGAGCTGAACCAAAGCGTTCTGACGGACATCAGCGAGGCCACCGAAACCAGTGAGGTCACGATCCCTGGAGGCACAACAGCGCAGCAACACAGAAACGCCAGCAAAACAGCCGATGATTTCTGTAGATTCGGCAATTGCAGAAAAAAGTTGAAGTAATGTAGAAATATGTAGAATTCAAATGAAATACATGGTACATATATATGTATACATGCCTTTTTCTGTAACTTATTTCGAGTTGAAACAAGGTGTTTGTTTCGCCGCGTGCCGGTCAAAGGCACCCGCCTGGCGGGCCTCCATCGAGAGCCAACGGGCGATGCGCCAAGTCTCCACGCCTTGGCACCTCAGAGTCCAAGGATGTCATGAAACTAAATGACATGTGAAATCGTGTGAAATAGAATTGGGAGTCAAAAAAAACTTGAATGGGATTGTGAGCGCATAATCCAATTATTCCAATAATATCCAATGAATCAAGATAACATGCACATTGTTTTCTTGTGCCCAAAGTCCACCAGCAGTCCCGTCAATTTTTGGACTGCTTTGAATTTGGCCGCCAACTCTGATGATTGACTTACTCAAGCAACTAGTTGCCGGTTGAATATCTTTGAGTTGCTTGTTTGATTTCCTTTCACAAAGCACAGGAACAAGCCCAGATCCAAGATGCCGCCAGGTCCCCGTGTCAGCAAGCACCAAGCAGATCATTCCAACGTGGAAGGAAATGTCCATGACGATGGAGACCGCCATGCGCAACAGAGGCTGTTCATCCTCCTACATTCGAGGCTGTGACCTGCCAGGAACGCCTTGTGGAAGTGGACTGTTGAATTTGACCTTTTGGAGATTTTTGCAGCCTGAGCCCTGAGCTCCTCAACTCTTGATGATATTTTGTTCTTAAGCAGATGCCTTTTATGGTGCCGCCATGTCCAGAACTGAGGCATTTTTCGGAGAATCCCAGAGATTGGAGCTGCTATCCTGGGCCAAGGGAGCTATGGTGTTGTTTCTTGGCCGAGAGGGTCGTGCCTTATCGGGATGGCGTACACAAGCACAATCCGTCGTGTTAAATGTTATACGGGGTGTCTGTGTTGTTTCAAATTCGGTCCAATTTCCAGATGGCGCCTTTCAAAAGTCTGGGCAAATCCTAATGATTGTTTGATTGGAAGCATTGCAGTTAAAGCGCGTGATGCAGAACCTATGGTCAGTCATATCAACAAGTTCTGGGAGGTTCTGCTCGTCAAAACTCTCATGAATGTTTGGATGCCCTCTTGCAGGATCGCACAGGCCACGGCTGAAAATATTGCCTGATCCTTTTTGACAAAAACTTGGCCAACCCATGAGATGAATCTCTACAGGTTTGGTGTGCAATGGACGAAGGCAACGACAAACTCTACGCTGTGAAGAATATTTGCGAGGCCAGTGAGTGGGGAACGACCACCCAGCCCTGGGTACTGCGGAAGGCTTGTTTGAGTGTTTGAGTTTCTCTTCTGTTCGGAAATTTAAGCACACCAACATGGCGGGAATTGTTCAGACTATTCAAAACCTAGCGGTGCCACGGCCACGGGATGCGCTGGAGGCTCCGACCACTACCGCAGTCAGTCGGAGGGAGTTTGAGGTCAGCGATCGGATTCGGCTGACACCACACCCATGTCGCTTGGAGCAATACATGATGCACAGTGACGATGCACACATTCTCATGACATAATGTGAAGTGATGCACCTCATGGTCAGATGTGTATGGGCTTCGGTTGTGATGGGTGCCCCACTCCCAGTGGGTAGACTCAAGCCAATGTGTATGAGATATCATGTTGATAATTGGTAGGGAAGCTTAAGATTTCTGCGCTCCAGAGGTTTGGTGAAGCTTTTCGCAGTGCAACATTTTGCAGATGCTGGCCTCTACGTGCTGGTGATGGAATTCTGCCCTGGGGGGAACTTGCTGCAACGGATCAGACAGTCACTGGACACAAGTTGCAGGCTGTGGTGGGCAAAACGATAACTGCAGTCCTTGTCCAAATGGTTTGGGGATCCCTAACATGTTAGGCCATGTCTTCAAGAATTGGACAACAATGCTGGGTGTCAAACCATTGCCTTCCCAACGTTATCCTTTGGCCACTATTCACTATGTTCCTAATGTTGTGCTGCGCAGTGCTTTCTATTGGGCAAAACTTAGATTCTGCCATGCTTGTGGCTTGGGGTTTGTACAAAACACTCTTTGCGGACCCTCTTTCCTTGTGTTTTATCGACATTCCTTCCTTCAACACTCGCTTCTATTGGATATGCCATGCAAGTCTCGCAGTGGCAGAAATGGCGAAAATGTCTTTAAGACCAGCTCAGTTTGCAAACAATTGTGGCGTTGCTTGTTGTGACGTTGCTTGTGTTGCAGTGAAAGATTCGTATCCGTGCCAAGCCGTGCCAAACCGCTACTGCAGCTTCAGTGCATGATTTTGAGCACTTTTTTTGTGACACGTTGTGGCAGACTGCTTTGCTTGACGGCCAAGGAGGAAGTTGAGGTTGAAAGCTGGACATTCAAATTTTGGATACATCTGGACAATCCAAAATGCATTGCCTTTTCCGCAACATTCTTCTCGCTGAGGACCCGCAACCTTCTCGGGCGCGGAAGGTACAAGGCCCCCGGCCCAGCAGTGGCCTGGATCGCCCAAGTCTTCCTGGGATTGGAACATATGCATTTGCGCATGGATACGCTGCTCAGAGACTTGAAGCCTGACAACGTGGTGATCAGTGCCTCGAAGTGATTCCGTCATTTTTGGATTTTGCAAAACCACATTCTGTCATCATATTCACAGCATAGAATGATGCTTACACAACATTTCATGTCATACATGTCATATCTTCATGTCTCTTGATCTCTTTCCGTGTCGGTTTCGCAGGTGACCGAGGCGTGGCCAAGTTGACGGATTTCGGGTTTGGTCGCTTCGGTGTGGAAGGCTCCAGCGGCACCTGGTCTTTCGGCATCCCCGCTGGGAGCCCGGGCTACGTGGCACCAGAGGTCATCTTACAACGGAACTACGACCACCGTGCCGTGGGTCGCAAGGATTTCATCAATCAAATCAGGTGATTTCTCAGATGTTTTTTTAGCATCCCAAAGCTGGTTTCTAAAGCTGCTCCCCAAAGCTCTCCAGAACAAACAAAATGCATTCATAGGTTTGAAACTGAAAAACATGTTTAGTGACTGGCAGAGTGCCAAGCACATTTTCTATTCACATGGATTCTATGATAATGATTGAACGCGGGTCTCGACGATCGTTTTGAACCATCTTTACATTAGGGTGGCACACGTGCCAGGTGCAGATCTCTATTCATTGGGCGTTCTCACCTGGGCTGCTCAGATGAAGCAAGCAGTTTTTTGAAGCATTACCTTCAATATTTTTGAGAATTATGACTGCTGAAGGTTCCAAGAGTAGCGTCTCGTAGGAGCCTTGTGCAAGTGTGCTCCCCATTTGTCGATTGGATTTAGTTTTGGCTGCATCTTCTCATCTCAATAGCTCCTCTTTCTTTGTACTGCTTTATGGATGCTTATCCTTTGCCCCTGGCACAGTGTGAGGTCCTTTTGTCTGGCGGCTTGGTGAATGTGGAGCCCCCACAACCACCAACTGGGCAGAGCCGGGGGAATGATTTCCGAGTTTATGCCAAAGACTTCCGCCTGCTCCAACGATGTTTGGATCCTTGGTTAGAATATGATCAAATCTTTTTTCAAATGTCAAGGATTGAAACGTGCGAAACTTGCGATGTTGGATTATGGCACCTGACTGTGAGGAGCACTCCTCGTGATTCATTGCAAGGTGAAAAGATGCAGGGCTTCGTTCCGCACAATCCAAGGAAGACCCACCATCCAATGGAGCATTGCGATTGCAACGGAATCAGCAGGACAAACCCAGGGCAGTAGGTTCGCTTGGATCACACGTGAATGCAGCAGAGGGGTTCGGATTGCGATCGTTGCAGAAGTTGAATGTATGCAGTCCAAGCGATGGCTGAGCAAAGTGGAGCTCATTGAGTGAAAACTTGAATATAGTTCGATCTTTTGTCGGCCGTTGCAGGAATGCGTTCTGTCCCTTTGTTGTGTTGGAAACAAACAGTGCCATTCATGCAAACCTTGTAGTCAGCGCCTTCAAAGATTCTCCGGCAGCACATGACGAGATATGGGACAAGATACAGCACACGGCTTTAAAGACGTTGGCAATGCACACGCATTTGGTTTCATGCTTTTCATATCTCAGGACACTCACCACTATTGGGGCCACCCTTTGCACAGCATTTTGTGGCAAGCTTATCTTCGCTTATCTTCGCTTATAGTGAACTTACTGTACCCCGCCCGATCCAAAATCTTGCGTTTAGTTGCGGGGACTTCCGGGGAAAGTCGCCCCAACATGTGTTGAGTTTCTGTGGAGCAGTTGCATGAGATAGAAAATGGTGTTTTAGAAATAAATATTGCTTCATTTAGCGAAATTTAGCGTGTGTTTACGCGGGTGAACTTGTTGTTTTGCCATGCCTGGCTCATTCATGTGACCATCGGGCAAGTCCAGTCACGTGTTTACGCATCGCCCTGCCGTGGGGGGGGAACCATTCTAGAGTAGTTGCATCGATTCATCTGAGTAACCAACAAAATTAGCAGAAAATTGAAGTAGTACGGATTGGACATGGGATGTTCAAATTTGTGTAAAAACTTTCACCGGTAAGGGACCACCCACTTATACCGATACCCTATTTCCCCAGATAGCTGGCAAGCTATAGGGGTTCTTACTTCTCAAAGGTGGGGTCTTCGGTGGCGAACTTTTGAGCAGGGTGCTGTGCAGGGTGCTGTGCAGGGTGCTGTCCAGACTGCGGTGGCGAAGTCTGGCAAAGGTGCTGTGCAGGGTGCTGTGCAGGGTGTGTCCAGACTGCGGTGGCGAAGTCTGGCAAAGGTGCTGTGCAGGGTGCTGTGCAGGGTGCTGTCCAGATGCGGTGGCTGGGCAAAGGTGCTGTGCAGGGTGCTGTGCAGGGTAGGGTGCTGCAAAGAAGTGCTGGCGAAGTCTGGCAAAGGTGCTGTGCAGGGTGCTGTGCAGGGTGCAGACTGTGGCGAAGTCTGGCAAAGGTGCTGTGCAGGGTGCTGTGCAGGGTGCTGCAGAAGTGCTGTGCAGGGTGCTGTGCAAGGGTGCTGTGCAGGTGCTGCGCAGGGTCCAGACTGCGGTGGCGAAGTCTGGCAAAGGTGCTGTGCAGGGTGCTGTGCAGGGTGCTGTGCAGGGTGCTGTGACTGCGGTGGCGAAGTCTGGCAAAGGTGCTGTGCAGGGTGCAGGGTGCTGTCCAGACTGCGGTGGCGAAGTCTGGCAAAGGTGCTGTGCAGGGTGCTGTGCAGGGTGCTGTGCAGGGTGCTGTGCAGGGTGCTGTGCAGGGTGCTGACAAAGGTGCTGTGCAGGGTGCTGTGCAGGGTGCTGTAGTAGTGCGGTGGCGAAGTCTGGCAAAGGTGCTGTGCAGGGTGCTGTGCAGGGTGCTGTCCAGACTGTGGTGGCGAAGTCTGGCAAAGGTGCTGTGCAGGGAGCTGTGAAGGGTGGTGTGAAAGGTGCTGTGCAGGGTGCTGTGCTTTGGTTCCCACGTTGGGAACCATCAGTTCCAACCTTTAGGAATTGGAAGTTCTTTGCAATGGTAACCTCTAGTTCCCAGGTTGGGAACCATGAGTTCCAACCTCTGGGAACCGGCAGTTCCTTGAAATGGTAACCCATGGTTCCCAGGTTGGGAACCAGGAGTTCCAACCTCTGGGAACCGGCAGTTCCTTGCAATGGTAACCTGTGGTTCCCACGTTGGCAACAGTGAGTTCCAACCTTTGGGAACCGGCAGTTCCTTACCATGAACCAAACGCAAACATTCCGGTACCGGTCCATTGAGCAAAACAAAGCGTTCTTTACCGGTCCATTAAGCAAAACCATAAAATTGTAAAGAAACTGTTTTCATATCATTTTAACATGCACCTTTTTCGTGCAAAACATTTTTATGCCGGCCCAACAGCCAAACGCAAACATTCCGCTACCGGTCCATTAAGCAAAACAAAAGGTTCTGTTACCGGCTCAGTAAACAAAACAAAACAACATTAAGAACCATGAGTTCTAACTTTTTGCAATCAACAGATCCTTCCACTGGTAACGTTACTTTTTCAGGCTTGGAACCATGAGTTTCAAGCTTTGGAAACCCGCAGTTCCTTACAATGAAAGCCGCTTAGCTCGAAAACATAAATTCTAACTTCTGGGAACCGGCAATTCCTTGCAATGGTAACCTCTGGTTCCCAGATTGGGAACCGTAAGTTTCAAGGTCTGGGAACCGGCAGTTCCTTGCCATGGTAACCTTTGGTTCCCACGTTGGGAACCATCAGTTCCAACCTTTAGGAACTGGAAGTTCTTTGCAATGGTAGCCTATGGTTCCCAGGTTGGGAAGCATGAGTTCCAACCTCTGGGAACCGGCAGTTGCTTGCAATGGTAACCTCTGGTTCCCCATGACTTCTAACCTGTGGGAACCGGCAGTTCTTTGCAATGGTAATTCCCACGTTGGCAACCGTGAGTTCCAACCTTTGGGACCCGGCAGTTCCTTGCAATGGTAACCTGTGGTTCCCACGTTGGCAACAGTGAGTTCCAACCTTTGGGAACCGGCAGTTCCTTGCCATGAACCAAACGCAAACATTCTGGTACCGGTCCATTAAGCAAAACAAAGCGTTCTTTACCGGTCCATTAAGCAAAACAAAAGGTTCTGTTACCGGCTCAGTAAACAAAACAAAACAACATTAAGAACCATGAAATTCCAACTTTTTGGAATCAACAGATCCTTCCACTGGTAACGTATGCTTTTTCAGCTTTGGAACCATGAGTTTCAAGCTTTCGCAACCGGCAATTCCTTACAATGATAGTTGCTTATCTTCGAAAACATAAATTCTAACTTCTGGGAACCGGCAATTCCTTGCAATGGCAACCTCTGGTTCCCAGGTTGGGAACCGTAAGTTTCAAGGTCTGGGAACCGGCAGTTCTTTGCCATGGTAACCTTTGGTTCCCACGTTGGGAACCATCAGTTCCAACCTTTAGGAAACGGAAGTTCTTTGCAATGGTAGCCTATGGTTCCCAGGTTGGGAAGCATGAGTTCCAACCTCTGGGAACCGGCAGTTCCTTGCAATGGTAACCCATGGTTCCCAAGTTGGGAACCAGGAGTTCCAACCTCTGGGAACCGGCAGTTCCTTGCAATAGTAACCTGTAACCTGTGGTTCCCACGTTGGCAACCGTGAGTTCCAACCTTTGGAAACCGGCAGTTCCTTGCCATGAACCAAACGCAAACATTCCGGTACCGGCCCATTAAGCAAAACAAAGCGTTCTGCACCGGTCCATTAAGCAAAATCATAAAATTGTAAAAAAAATGTTTTCATATCATTTTAACATGCACCTTTTCGTGCAAAAACATTTTTTTTTGCCAGCCCAACAGCCAAACGCAAACATTCCGCTACCGGTCCATTAAGCAAAACTAAAGGTTCTGTTACCGGCTCAGTAAACAAAACAAAACAACATTAAGAACCATGAGTTCTAACTTTTTGCAATCAAGAGATCCCTCCAGTGGTAACGTTACTTTTTCAGGCTTGGAACATCTTGGAACCATGAGTTTCAAGCTTTGGGAACCTGCAGTTCCTTACAATGATAGTTGCTTATCTTCGAAAACATAAATTCTAACTTCTGGGAACCGGCAATTCCTTGCAATGGTAACCTCTGGTTCCCAGGTTGGGAACCGTAAGTTTCAAGGTCTGGGAACCGGCAGTTCCTTGCCATGGTAACCTTTGGTTCCACGTTGGGAACCATCAGTTCCAACCTTTAGGAACTGGAAGTTCTTTGCAATGGTAACCTATGGTTCCCAGGTTGGGAAGCATGAGTTCCAACCTCTGGGAACCGGCAGTTGCTTGCAATGGTAACCTCTGGTTCCCAGGTTGGGAACCATGAGTTCCAACCTGTGGGAACCGGCAGTTCCTTGCAATGGTAACCTGTGGTTCCCATGTTGGCAACTGTGAGTTCCAACCTTTGGGAACCGGCAGTTCCTTGCCATGAACCAAACGCAAACATTCCGGTACCGGTCCATTAAGCAAAACCGAGCGTTCTTTACCGGTCCATTAAGCAAAACCATAAAGTTGTAAAGAAAATGTTTTCATATCATTTTAACATGCACCTTTTTCGTGCCAAAACATTTTTATGCCGGCCCAGCAGCCGAACGCAAACATTCCGCTACCGGTCCATTAAGAAAAACAAAAGGTTCTGTTACCGGCTCAGTAAACAAAACAAAACAACATTAAGAACCATGACGTCTAACTTTTTGCAGTCAACAGATCCTTCCACTGGTAACGTTACTTTTTCAGGCTTGGAACCATGAATTTCAAGCTTTGGGAACCCGCAGTTCCTTACAATGATAGCCACTTAGCTTCGAAAACATAAAATTCTAATTTCTGGGAACCGGCAATTCCTGGCAACAGTAACCTCGAGCAGATCTGGTTCCCAGTTTGGGTACCGTAAGTTTCAAGGTCTGGGAACCGGCAGTTCCTTGCCATGGCAACCTTTGGTTCCCACGTTGGGAACCATCAGTTCCAACCTTTAGGAATTGGAAGTTCTTTGCAATGGTAACCTATGGTTCCCAGGTTGGGAAGCATGAGTTCCAACCTCTGGGAACCGGCAGTTGCTTGCAATGGTAACCTCTGGTTCCCAGGTTGGGAACCATGAGTTCCAACCTCTGGGAACCGGCAGTTCCTTGTAATGGTAACCTGTGGTTCCCACGTTGGCAACCGTGAGTTCCAACCTTTGGGAACCGGCAGTTCCTTGCCATGAACCAAACGCAAACATTCCGGTACCGGTCCATTAAGCAAAACCGAGCGTTCTTTACCGGTCCATTAAGCAAAACCATAAAGTTGTAAAAAAAATGTTTTCATATCATTTTAACATGCACCTTTTTCGTGCAAAAACATTTTTATGCCGGCCCAGCAGCCGAACACAAACATTCCGCTACCGGTCCATTAAGAAAAATACAAGGTTCTATTACCGGCTCAGTAAACAAAACAAAACAACATTAAGAACCATGAGTTCCAACTTTTTGGAATCAACAGATCCTTCCACTGGTAACGTATGCTTTTTCAGCTTTGGAACCATGAGTTTCAAGCTTTCGCAACCGGCAATTCCTTACAATAATAGTTGCTTATCTTCGAAAACATAAATTCTAACTTCTGGGAACCAGCAATTCCTTGCAATGGCAACCTCTGGTTCCCAGGTTGGGAACCCTAAGTTTCAAGGTCTGGGAACCGGCAGTTCCTTGCCATGGTAACCTTTGGTTCCCACGTTGGGAACCATCAGTTCCAACCTTTTCTATCTGGGGTCTATGCCGGTGTAATTTTATAGATTCATACCATGGAAGTACAAACCTTCACAACCGATAGGGAACCACCCACTTTGGCCATGTCCATTGCGAGTAGTAAGTAATTTTGCCCGCCGCTCATCTACTTACAGTAGGTGCAGTTTAAAGGTGCTTGTTGTATCATGTCACATATGCTTGTTTCTACAGCAGCCTTCCCTCCTCCCCTCCTTCCCTCCTCCCCTCTTTCACTCTCGCTCTCTCTCTCACTCTCTCCCTCCCTCTGCCTCCACTGCGCATCTGCCCAATATGGTGATGTGTGATAAATAGCCGATGCAAACCTTTCTGGTCCTGTGCTGCTGGAGATGCTGGCTGCTCCTGCGGCTGCTTCTCCTGCTGCTGGGGCTGCTGGTGCTGCCGGAGTGCTGCTTCTGGATTGCTAATAATTGCTGCTAGATTTGCTGCAGGCTGCTGCCAGGCAGGTGCTAAACTGTTGCTGAACTGCTGCTATAGTGGGTTGTTACCATGGAGCGCGGCCAAACTGTTGCTTGACTGCTGCTACATTCCTCCTGCACTGTTGCCGGGCTGGTGCTGACCTGCTGCTGGGCTTTCCGGGCCGGTGAAGAAGCTTCTGCTGCACGGCTTCTGGCAAACGTCTGCTAGACTCAGCTAAGCAGCTGCTAGGTTCAAAGGTTCTCCCGCAGCACATGACGAGATATGGGACAAGATACAGCACACAGCTTCAAAGACGTTGGCAATGCACACGCGTTTGGCTTCATGCTTTTTATATCTCAGGAGGGGCACCACTATTGGGACCACCCCTTGCGCAGGATTTTGTGGCAAAGCTTATCTCGCAAAGACCTCAAGACCGTTTGTCTCATAGTGTCTTGGCAACAGTTCTAAGTAGGTGAAGGTTGTTAGCGATGGGATTGGCGATCAGCAATTTCGAACTGATGGATTCAGAAATTTACCGCACTGGGAGTGGTCCTGATTTAAAGCTAGGCTTCTTGTATAGGTAAACTTGCTCGGGCAAACTTTGTGGAAAGCTGTTCGGGATGTCCAGCCACACAGACGGCGAAGCAGTATTTAATAGCTTGTTCCAGGATGTTGGGGTGCAGCAAGCAGGCCATCAATGGATATTCAAGCAAATTTGACCGACGTTGTTATTTCAAGAATCGATTCAATTGATTCTTTCAATCTTCGCGGTTTCGATTTGATCCTTGGATTGATTTTTCCACTGCACCATGAGGACAGATCCGCGCTCACCCACTGATCAAAAGCTTGGCAGAGCTCCCGTCATTGGAAGCTCCATCGAGCTTGGTGGAACAGTGGGTTGAAGAGTCAGTGTCTGACCGAACATCTCGTCAATCATGAAAAGAAAAGGGAGCAGCTTTGGAACGCTTTGAATCTGTAAATGTTCAAGTGCAGCTTTGATTAGTTAGCGTAACCCGCAAACATCGGAGGCGATCTAAATCGACAATGTGTATGGTATACCAAGCAACCTCACTACAACAAAGTTGGGTCCAATGGACACTTCACTTTTTGTCCTAGCCTGCTATGAAGCCGACTTCTGTGCTTCCAGATTCCCCATCAATCCTCTGAACTCAACCCGGGAAGTTCACTTTGATGCTGAGATTCTTCGATGCATCACATCGGCAGCTGATGGAAGATGCAGCGCGCCATGAGGGGATCCATCCGAATGAGGACAGGGTGAAGGGGAGAGTGGGGGCACTGAAGCAAAGAAAGCAATGAAACATCGCATGAAGCAATGAATGACAGGTGCCTAAGCTTCACCAAGTTTCCTCAGGGGAACCTTGCAGAGGGTGTAATCATTTGTTTGCAAGGATACCAGGATGTCCTTCAATGCGCAATCAGGATTCAAAGCAATTGATAAAGCATGCTCACAAGTGTGCAAAGTGCTTTTGGTTTTTCAAGAACCTGCGTGCATCGCTTTGACATCTTAATTTTAATCATTTAATGGATGAATACTTGGCCAAGCAAGAATCTTGCATGAAGTTGATGTACTTAAAAGAACATGAAGCACAGCTTGAAATGGCTGCAAGATTGATGTGGTGCCAGTGCTGGTGTGGAGACCTGGCTGCCCTGCGGTGTGCACAGTCTTGCGGTCATGGGTTGGCTGTCAGCAGCACGAAATTTGAACACCATGCATCCAGTGAAAGGGGCAAGGGATAGGCAAAAGAACAAACCGCGAAGGATTCCGCATAGAAGATCAAGATAGGATCTAGAGGGGGAGCAGAAGGATGGAGTTCATGTCAAATTCAGGATGTCCCAAGGGAATCATGGTCGCGCTCAGAAAAGCTGCTTCATTTTTCTATGGAAAACCCCATTGTGGCTGGTAACTGCTAGTATGATTTGAAAATATCCACAGCATCCCGTAACCATTTTGAGGCCACGACATGACACAAGACATTGGGTAACCTTAAGCTGCGCGAAGGTGCCACAGGGCGGCGCAGGTTGCCACAATGGACGCAACTCCGCTGCAGCTGCCGCGGCAAATTTTCATGAAAACACAATGTTGGTAGTCACAGATAGTCACAGATACCGGAGTTGGAAGCTGATGTCGCGGATCTCCTTCCTCACTGCGGTTGTGAGGCTTGTGGCATGGCAGTGGACCAAACCAATCAAAGAGATGCCGCCGAGGTGCACATTGCCTAGGTTCATTCAGTGATGCTGTGCCAATGCAAGCTTTCCTTGTGCTTTGACTACTTGAATTTGTTTGCGGTCGCGTATTCCTGTTATTTCTCAGCGTGGCCAGGCCTAGGTATTCATTTTGTGCCTGAAAAAGTCGGGCTCCTTGATAAACTTCCATATTGCAGCTTAGCGTGTTTGCTTTCGCAAAGAGCCTTATGTACTCTTTCGGCTAGCAGCCGAAAATGTTTTGGTAAGTTCCAAGCTGCTTGCTTTTCCATCATGATGTGTTGTTGCTGCAGCTGGAACTTTCAAATCGAATTGCAGAGTTTGTTGACCAGCATGTTCTTTTAGTTTGCAAGCCATTTTCAAATTCCTCAGGTCCGACTGTGGATGAAGCCTGACTTCAAGCTCTTGGAAGAGACGCAGCAAGAACTCATCGATATTCAGGATCAAGATTATCCTGTTACATATTGCGAAGCTTGCATTGAGAAGAAATTTCTTTAAAGCCAATTTATTGATTGTGGAAAATCGAAATTTGCCTGTAGACAATTTTTTTTTGGAACTTTCGCGTTTGCAATGGTCAAAAGCAATCTATATTGGTGTGGTCGAACTAATTTAGTACCTTTTTTTCCTTATTAGTTTTAGCGGTTATATTCATTCATTTTGATTGCCAATTTATTTAAATTTGTTTTTAAATATTATCAATAATTTTTAGTTATAAGTAGAGAATTATATATATATGTTTAAATTAAGGAATTATGTTATATTGATATTATATTTTTCTTTTTTTTAAATATAATTTTATTTTGTAATGGATAATATTGGGGAAATAAATATTCAATTTTCTTGATAAATAAAAATGGAAAGATTATATAATATTATATTAAGGATGTGTGATAAATTACTCAGTAATAGAGGTTGTAGCGCAGTATTAAGAGCGTGTGGTATATAAAAAAATGAAAGAAAATATTATATTTAAAGCAAGATGAAGCCCACGAACCCGAATGCTTACACGTATGTTAATGGTACAGATGTCAAAACACATGGTTATGCAGTTACGCACAATACCTCTCTGCAATAGTTTATTTGAACAGTCTTGTACATGTTTCCCTTGTTACCAGTCTGCAGTGTGGAGTGGAAAGTCTGGAATGTAAAGTGTAGAATGCAGAGTGTAAAGTGTAGAGCGTGGAGTATGGAGTGTAAAGTGTGGAGTGAAGAGTGTAGAGTGTGAAGTGTGGAGTGAGGACTGTAAAGTGCAAAGTGTTGAGTGTGGAGTGTAAAGTGACGAGTGTAGAGTGAGGAGTGTGGAGTGTAAAGTGAGGAGTGTAAAGTGAGGAGTGTAAAGTGTGGAGTGAGGAGTGAGTTTGTAAATTGTGGAGTATCGAGTGTAGCGTGTGGAGTGTGGAGTGGAAAGTGTAGAGTGTGGAGTGTAAAGTGTGGACTGTAGAGTGTGAAGTCTGGAGTCTGAAGTAAGGAGTGTAAAGTGTGGAGTGAGGAGTGTAAAGTGGAAAGCGTGGAGTGTAAAGTGTGGAGTGTAGAGTGTAAAGTGTAGAGTGCGGAGTGTGGAGTGTAAAGTGTGGAGTGTGAAGTGTAGAGTGAGGAGTGTAAAATGTGGAGTGTAAAGTGTAGAGTGTGAAATGTGGAATGGAAAGTATAGAGTGTGGGGTGTGGAGTGTATAATGTAAAGTGTGGAGTGTAGAATGTAAAATGTAGAGTCTAGAATGTAAAGTGGAAAGTGTGGATTGCAAAGTGTGGAGTGTAGAGTGTAAAGTGATGAGTGTATAGTGTGGTGTGAGGAGTGTTTAGTGTGGAGTGTGGAGTGTGTAGTGTAAAGAGTAGAGTGTGGAGTGTAGGGTGTAAAGTGCGGAG